GGATCTAAAAAATAGATCCCCTAACTAGGGACCCTAACTACTAAAGGGTACTTTAATCGGAACCCCCTTAGGGGATCTGTTTTTAAGATCCTTTTGGGGGTCTGGGTTAAGGTCCCTTCTAGGATCCTTTTCCTAGTACCAGCAGGGTTTAGGGTTTAGGGTTTAGGGCATTATGCCCAACCCTGAGCTAAGGTTCTTCCGGCTTATAAGCCCTGCAGGCCACGCCCTCAACCGATGAGATGAGGCCCTCGAAACCCGAAACCCCAAACCCTCAAAAACCCACCAAACCCTAAACCCCAAACCCCAAAAAAACCATCAAACCCTAAACCCCAAACCCTCAAAAAACACATCAAACCCTAAACCCTGAACCCTCAAAACCCCCTGCCCCAAACCCTATGAGATAAGGCTCTTCCGCCTCAGGCCCATGGCTCGAAGCCGGTAGTGCGTGGCCTGGCGACAGCGAATCTTCCGTCTTCCGAAGCCGGGATCTATGGGCTCTTCCTGCCGAGTTTAGGGTTTAGGGTTTAGGGTTTAGGGTTTAGGGTTTTTAGGGTTTTTAGGGTTTAGGGTTTAGGGTTCAGGGTTTAGGGGGCATAGTACGCGATGATCTGGGGCGAGGCCATGATTTACTCTGCAGAAACATGAACATCTCTTGTTCTCCAGGCTCCACTTAGAAGCCCCTGTTACATACGTATCTAATACATAAAACCCGCATCAAGAAATCTGAAGCCGGTGGACACTCGACATGGGAGTTTCCAAAAGTAAGGGGTACCCTTCCTTTGGGGGTCCTTATAATAAGGATCCTACTATTTAGGGTACTATATTAGGGTCCCCTATTTTCGGAAACTCCCACATAAACATCGTCATCTGACAGACGCCGCCGGGGCCCTGGCCTGTGTGAAAGGATTCTCGCGGGTGTCGAGCCTGCAGGACATCCGACAGGATCGTGCTCGTGCGCAGGCCGATATTCACAACACAAAGAGCAAGGGTTTAGGGTTTTTGGTTTAGGGTTTAGGCTTTAGGGTTTAGGGCTTAGGGTAAGCCGATATTCACAACACAAAGAGCAACACGAGCAGAGTAAGAATCGCAATCGTTTGTTCACTGGATCAAGAGCAATCCCATCAACATGCATCCTATGACGTGTTTATGTCTCACGCTTAGGGTTCGAGAGAGCAGGGCACCTCGTGGGCCCACGCTCCACGGCCATCACCCCTCGGTGCAGAGCCAGGGCGTGGCTAACCTGCAAAAAACGGAGCTCGAAAGCGCTCTCAAAGGAAAGTGGCCTTTTTTGAGGGCTGTTTAATTCAAGCATTACTTTAAAACTTCAGTTAAGGGTTCCTGTTTAATGGTTCCTTTAAGGGTTCTGAGTGCCCGAGCCCTTCGTTCAACGTGTGAGGACTCGAAGGGTGCAGCTTGGCCTGAACACGCCCAATCCTGACTAGTAGCTGGACCTTAAGTGTTCAGCGGAGTATGTGTATGATCATATGGGGACTATAATGAAGAGGTTTGCTTGACTGCTAATGAATCCAGCCTCTATATCAACTGGCTGTCGGCTTTCGGAGTGCTGAGATTTGCGGTTTAGGGTTTTGGGTTTAGGGTTTTGGGTTTATGGTTTAGGGTTTAGGGTTTAGGGTTTAGGGTTTAGGGTTTAGGGTTCGCGCGGCCTCCTTGGCCACCATCAGATACCAGCAAATGAGGGCGACAACGCAAAGCACCTCCCGCGACAAATGGGAGTTTCCGAAAATTAGGGGTACCTTATTTTGGGGTCCTTATAATTGTTGAATGTGCACTGCCTCCGACCGATGTTTTCTTCCTTTCAAGGCATGTGTGAAGTAGGCCTGCAAGTGCCTAGGACTTCCACACGTCAGTAGGTTCAACCTAGACGAATGCCAACGGCATGTTCGTAGGGAACCGTACAGACAGCGTGTTGTGTTAGTGAGGAAAAAGGGTTGGAGAGTTGCATGGCCCTCCGTGAGCCCCTGGTTTCTTCGCTGCACAAATCGAGAAGTGTACCAACCTGGAATCGGCTGGGAAAGCCGCGACGATCTTTCAATA